TGTCAAGAATAATAGTAATATGTATATATATCCTACCTTTCTTGACCGGATAGAGCTTTCGTGCTGATAACGTGTTATAAAATACGGAGAATATAAAGAACACAATGTATAAAAACCGGAACAAATTATAATCTGCTTTCTTTCACTTTTCGGTATCAATATTACACTTCCTTATGGCCCTTTTATAGGCAAATGCCAAGGCCTTTAATCATATGATGGCACACAATTCAATGTAAGTACTAATACAATAATGAAGATGATAATGTGGTTAATTCCACATATTTACAATAGTTTCAAAATTTTAGGCCGTCCGCGAGCTTCCGGATAATTTATTGCTTTTCCAAACGTCTTTCACTTTTGCTTTTCCAATCTATGGTATCTCCTTTCGACCGTTTTATTTTCGGCAACATGGCTTCATTACAATCAATTTTGGTGTCAATCACGAATGAATGGAAGACTAATTATTTCAGTGATTTTACTTCCTTTTTTTTTTTTTTTTTGAGTTTATGTTTTTTGGGATATTAGTTTCTGCATTATCACAATTTTGTGATTAAAAAGTTTCTCTCATTTTTGTGGAAAGTAATATTATTTATCTCGTTAGTGCGTCTTTAAGCCAAGTTTACACGTGTATGCAACATGTAAGATTTATTTGCATATATAATATCTCTGTAATTTTTTATCAATTAAGGATTTCTCTTTCTCTCTCCATAAAATCCGATACTCTCTCCAAATAAAAAGAACTCCATAAAATTTGATTCTTCCTCGAAATAAATATCAAACCGCAAGAAAAAAGAAAAAAAAAAAAAACAAATCTAAAGACTAGAACTTAGAAATTGGAAAGCAAAATATTGTTTTTCGTGAAATCTTCAGTTATAAAAAAATTTAGATATACTGTACCTATAACCACCAAATATATGTTCAGATATAATGTACATAGGTATCAGATAAACATGATATGACAATTCTCTAATATTAAATGTATAGATATACATAAAATAAACAACATATAAACAATTCTGAAAACGGGATAAAACTTAATAAACAATTCTGAATAACTGCAAAATCCAAATCAAATGTAGGTATACATAAGATAAACAATATAACAGACCCACCGTCCAGCCTTGGGATATGAGCCGAGTCTTCAATTGTGCAGCCGCGTGACAATCGACGACCGCTGGAGCAGAACATTGCACCGTCGATTTGGGGCGCAGTCCACCTCCCAGTCCCTTCGCAAGCTGTCCGCCGGCCACGATCAGCACCAGCCGAGGTTCCTCAGTAGCTACTTCGCTCCTAGGGCCGCCACTCGCGTCGCCGAGGTTAATGCTTCGTGAGAAGAAAAGAAATTAAGGGAAGAACTTAAGGAATTCTTGGTTTGCTATTTTAGGGATTTTTTGGCTGCGAAAACAAGAATGAGAGAGAGAGAGAGAGAGAGAGAGAGAGAGAGAGAGAGAGAGAGAGAGAGAGAGAGAGAGAGAGAGAGAGAGAGAGAGAGAGAGAGAGAGTAATGTATGGGTCAAATAAACAAGATGAGATTTTTTGGGTGTTGATGAAAAAATATGGTGAGAAAATCACTTGTTCTACAGAGTACTGTATGTGTCAAATAAACAAGATGAGATTTTTTGGGTTTTGGTGAAAAAATATGGTGAGAGAAAATCACTTGGTATACAGAACCTTTTGCTACATACTTGCTTTAATTAATTACAATTCATACTTTTAAATTTAAGTTACTGATTTCGTAGGTTTAATAATATTTAGCAAATGATGAGTAAGAGGGTAATTATCTCAGTTTGTTCAATGATTTTGTGCCTTCACTGCTCTCTACTTTCTATTTGTTGTTTACCCAAACTAATATTCGATCCTATGCACATGTACAAATACAGATAAAATTTTATATGTTATATACATGTGAGTTTATGTAATATTTCAAATCATAATTAGGTGTCACATTTTATAAATTTTATCATTAGAAAAAAATTTAAGATATAAATATAGACCATTTAACTTACATATGAATCTTTATAATAATGCAATCTTGACTGATTATGACCAATCAATTGGATTAAATAATATTAAAATTATAATTATAGCAATTGTGTATGAAATTTTGAAGGGTTTGGTTATACCATTAAAACTAATTAACTAATTTTAATAAAAAATATGTTTAATGAGTTGAAAAAAATTAACATTTTAAATAAATAGTTTGAAAAAGGTTTAGAATATTTTTTTTCAAACGGCAGATACTCATAAATAGAACACATAATTATAAGCAGATAGCAACCGGTAACATCCGGAAAGAGCAACTACACGGCTGGAATCCTTGGGAGGAAAACTTGCAGGATAGCATAATTGTTTATTGTGTTTTTGTACTTGTTTTTATGTGTTTATGTGTGTTATCGAGTCAGTTTTAGGTTTGTTTTAGTGTCGACCGGTCCATTTTATCGTGTTTCGTGTGTTGTATTGTCTTTCTTTCTATTTTATGTTTTGGCGTACTTTCCCGTGCTTTTTGGTGTATTTTCAGGTTTATTCTGAGGATGAAGAGATGAGTCAAACCAAATCCCGAGAGACCAGCTTTCCGAAGAATTTCGAGTCAATTACGAGATGTGTCGAGCCATTAGCCTTAGTCGAACCTCGCTGATGCGTCGCTGATGCGACATTACCCGTAGCTCAGGAAGTCGCGCGCAGGCGGAAGAACCCACGACGTCGAGAGTCTCGCGCGGCCGCTGCCCAGTGCGCTCCCGCGCTCGCGGAAGACGTCGCGACCTTGAGAGTGCACCGATCTTTATGCCCAGCTCACGACCACGACACGAGAAGCAGAAGCCAATCACATGAGTATCCCAAGCCGCGACCTCGAGGAAAACGTGGCGAGGTCGAGAGTCCCGCGCTACCACTGCCCAGCGCGCCTGCGCGCTCGCGGAACCTGCCGCGCTATCAAGAGTGTTGCGCCCCATGCCCGTGCCCGTGGATTCTTGCTCCATCGCCCGCGCGCGCCCATGCACATCACTGCCTGCGAGTTCGCGAATTTTGTGGAGATGTCGAGAGTGTTTCATTTAATGTGCATTTTTCTAGTGTGTGTTTTGAGTGGGAGTATAAATATTTTTGCTCCTTTGCATTTTGGACATCCGACCTTCATTATATCATTTTTCCTTTTTTTGGTTCTTAGCTTATGTTCTAAGGTTGCTCTCTAGACTAAGAAGGTTATGCCATTTTCTGGGAGGTTTTCCGGCGACTTTCTTTCCGTCAAGTTTCGAGCTTTTGACTTCGTTTTTCGTCTACTACGCAATAGAAGATTGGGCACTTATCTTTAAGCCTCTTTACTTCGATTTTTGCCTCGTTTTTACTTATAATGCTTATTAAGGTAAATGTGTGCATTGTGGATGATGGAGGAAAAGTTGGGACTTAATTGCTCATAGCTTGTTTATTCCTCTTTGTCGTTGATTTTTTCTTCTTGTGTTGGTGGTATGAGACTCCGATAGTCTAGTTTCGCTATTTGCTCGTGATTTGTTATTGCTCGTAATTAGTTGCTCGTTTAGTGATAATCCATTTCCGAACCAAATGATTAGAATGTTTAGGATTTATTTTCTCTTTTTGTGATTCGGACAATTAAATAGTAAACGAAGCTCCGAACCGTCTTCCTTTGAGAATGACCCGAGTCAGGTAGCTCGGTTACCTCTTGCCCACAAATTTGTATTAAACAAATGGCGCCACCACCCCTACGAAACCTTTGGTTCAATTTCTCAATATTCTAATTCACCCGCATCGAGGAAGGCGAGTAGGATGCTAAGTTTACTATCTAGTTGTCATCATTTGTTTACTATCTAGTTGTCATCATTTAGTCGCGACGTCGACTTATATAAAAGGTTGAAATACTCAATCGTTTTATTTTCTTGTTTTTCTCTTTATTTGCGATTTCTCTTGCTTTTTGGTATGTGTGTTCGTGTACATAACGCATTGTGTTAGTTTTGTTTTGTGTTTTCTCTTCTCGGTCTCGTGTGCCTTGTTTGTTTTGTTGTTCTTGTGCGAGGTATTTCGCTTGAGGAGCTCCGATGGATCCGTACTGTTATTCTTATGCCGGTAGCTCGTCTCGTGGATACCCCGACAACTATCATGAGGAGATGTACTCGCATGGAGAGCCACCTTATTCGTATCCGAGCCATTCTTACCCGCCGTCTCAAGTTGATTTTGGTTACTCTCCGTGTAACGACAAGACGCCTCACTATTATCTGCCACCTCCCATTTATTGTGATGCGACACCTCCACCCGAGCCGACTCGGGAAGCTTCTCGAGTCAATTTAGAGGAGATTATAAAGCATTTAGAGGAGTGCAATCGATCCCTTCGTGCTTCAATGGCTCCCATATCCGAGAAAGAAGAAACTGAGTCCTTTGCTCCACCCTCTCCATCATACGAGCATCTATCGGTGGGCCAACCTTGTACATTGAGTTCCGAACCTTCATTTCCAACCGCGGTTGCACCTTTCGAACGTCACCAAGAGGTGTTGACGAGCACTCAAGAGGCACTTGCGAGCCTTATGTCGATCATTGAGGAGTTTCATAGTTGGAAGAGCATTCCTATTCCATCCGTTCTTCAAATCAAACTCACGAAGTTAGACTCTACCGTGGTCTCTTTCCTTGATTTGGATGAATCTCACATTCCGCTCGGTAGATATTGTTCTCTATCGGCTAGGATTATTCGAGAGAGCACTTGGTTAGAAGACGAGTTTCGAGCTATGGTTGATAGGTTTGCCTCCTTGAAAGAGGTGGGCCTTACTCTCCTATATGACGGAATGCAATCTCTCGACACGAGTGAGGACATTGATGATTTGGTTGTTAAAGAAATTTTCTATCTTGACGATTCGACCGTGCGTCCTACATTAAGTACGTCAAATTTCTCTCCCCGTGATTGTGCTTTGAGTTCGAATTCTATTGTTAAGAGTGAGCATGTGGAATCGGGTGTTGATATGGTGTACAGTATGGGGGAAAATTCATTTGAGGAGTCGGTTGTGCCTATTCATGAGTTGGATGAGTCGAATGGTTTTGAAATTGCTCCGGAGGATGATATTGAGGAGAAGGATGTGGTAGTTGATGACTTTGTGGATGTTGTTGAGGGGGATTCCAAGCTATTATATTATGTCGTGGACCCGAGGTGTGCGTTGATTGAGGATTCGACTTGTGATGTTGAGTATGACATGGTTCCCATGTCCTTTGGGTCGCCATTTCGTATTATTGAGGATCATGACCACTTGAGGAGTTTAGTGTGCCTAAGTCCGTGTTCCCGATGCTTGAGCTTGATGAGTACACGTTCGAGATGATGCAAATGATGGTCGGGATCCATTCGACGTGCTCCACGGATATTTTCATATTTCCGGAGATCGAGTATGGGGCCTCGGTTCATAAGGATTTATCTCTTCTCTTGGTGGTTGTTGATATCCGTGCTCGGGTTTACAAGAATACGGCCACAAGAGCTTATTTGACCCGTCTTTGTTTGGTGCTACCGGTTCGTCTACTATTGGAGAATACAAAGGCGTGGCACGATCGTTATTTCTTTTTGGACCCTAGTTGATTAGGTATGTGGACGTCGAGCTCAAGACGTTAAAATGAGTGCTTCGTGGGAGGCAACCCACGGTCATTGCTTTTTCTCGTTTTTTACTTTTTATCGAGAATAAATAGTCCCGCAAGGCACACAATACACGAGATGTTACATGAAGGAAACGAGGTTTTGGTCAAGGATTGGTTGAAAATATTGAGATATTTGGGCAAATATTGAAAATTTAGCTAAGGGATGAAAATTGATGAGAAAAGGTCCGTGTCGACCCGCTCGGCGATACCGACCTGTTAGTGCCGGGCCAAAAATTTGATCGAGAAAGTTCCGGGAAGTGTGGACAAGATTTAGGTGCCGAAAACCATGAAAATATGCCTAAGTGTCCAAGAAATAGCCCCAGTCCCGCACAGGCCCGCACTGGCCCGACAGCGCCCCCATGCACCATGCACGTTCACGCGCTCCTGGCCAGGCCTATGACCTCGTGCTAGGCACCCACGACCTCGTCAGCGTGCCCGCGACCTAGCACCACAGGGCCATACTACTATCTTTTTCGGGTGGTGGAAACGCCCGCGCTCGCGGTTTGCATTCGCGCACTCGCGGAGACTCCCGCGACCTTGCGCCCCATCTTATGCCGCACAGCACCCGCGAGGCGGAAAAGCCTGCGACCTCGCATCCCTCACCTGCACCCGCGTGCACCATCGCCAACCTCGACCCATGCCCGCATGTACTGCACCCGAGCCACCATGAGCCACACCGAGCCACCGGGCGAACCACCGAGCCCCAGCGCACCCGACG